TATATTAATGCCCCCTACTCAACATTCTATGCACCTGATTATGCCGAACCTCCATATTATACAACTATATATCATGAAAGTCTAGAATTTAATCTTTTAAAATGTGAAGCAGAGTTCAGCAACAAGATTTTGATAGAATGGCATGGACTTAATGGATAAAACTCAAGCATTCAGCTCTTTAAATTCTGAAGTAGGTATGCTCGCCAAGTGCAATCATAAGTAAATTGCGAGAAATCAAAAGATACCTGAACTGGACTTGCAGCAATCAGTGTTGCAACTCCACCACCCATAACGTGACCATCAGGAGTAGAAAGAGAGACACTTATCCCCCCAGTTCGACTACGGGGCCCACCATCCTCAGCCACCAGATAAGAACCCGACATGCATAATATCTCAAAATGACCCTAAACAAACTAAAATAAACCAAGTAAGGGATCCTCCAACTTGCTTTAGAAAAACCAAAATCAACCAAATTTTCAGCCCTAGAAACAAACACCTATTCCTCAATTATTTCCTGACTCCTGCTATGCTAGATCCTTCAACTTTACTACCACAGCTAAACATAACTTTCAAAAAATGCAATTTAAAAACTTAAGCCTCAAAGGCAAAGCCATAGTGGAGACTACTAAAGCATTAATACATGTTTACAGCAGCAGTTCTAACATTAGCAACTTAAAGCTTGATATGCTACAAGAAAAATTTCTTAAATATCAAGTGCCACAACCTGGTATGTGACACTAGGTGTAGTCGATCCAGGCTGACGTAGTGTTACTGAAGAAACTCCACCACTGCCTGACAATATGCAGACAGCCCTTGGTCTCTGTTGTGCAAATGACAACATTTTTGCTACAATATCCTACAAAAGAGAACAAGACCTTCTGATGTCACGAAGCTTTAATTCATCATAAGGCAAGAAGCAGATGTTACTTACAGGCTACAAGCTACAACTTTATCACATGAAACAGATGAACTACTAAGGATGAAGCTTCTTCTTTTTTTTTTTTGGGAGACCATATCCATCTCTTTAATTTATTTTTCTAATGCATAGCATATAAAACCCTTCCATAGCATATTCATAAGCAACTACTGTACCAATTCTAAAAATCTGTTATCTCCACAAATAAAGAGTACAGAAACAAATAAGGTGAAATCTCATAGCCTTTTACATTCCTAATTCTCATAGAAATGAAACCTAAGAATCACAATAAAAGCCAAACTGGAACCATATGACAGATACCCATCAGCCAAAAACTAGAAATAAACCATTCTTGAACCAAAAAAGCATCCTCCCCATGGAAACCCCCTGTAGTAAGTAATTACATAGATCAATCTTGGCAGCCATGCCATGACAGGCATACATTTTCATTTCATGTACAGCCATGACTTTAAGTTGGACAGATGTAAACAAGATGCACTTATCTCACATATTGAGAGCATGAAAAACTGTAAAGATGCACATACTTCTCCAGCTCCAACAGAGATCACATGGGGAGCAAAAGCCTGGCCAGCTGAATCATTCATCCATTCACCTAGCAGAACCATAAATCATGTAAACTCAAACCCAGATGTAACATAAAGAATTATATCAAAATTCAAGTAGTTTCAAATTCTGCTTCTACAAGTACATAAACAACCATCATAAACTAATGAATTATACTGAAACCTTCCAGTCATTCCTTTCAACTATCTTCACAACAGAAGTGAGAACCAGGAATGTGAATGATGTATCAGGTTTTAAAGCTACTAAACAGCTAAGCCTAAGTGTGAAGCCAAACTCAAGCTACACAAGACACAAACCCATTCCAAAAGAAACATCTTTACTCTAATGGCAAAAATTCAAAATTCAATAGAAACCTCACCGAGAAGTGCTAGTTGCTGCTTCCTTCCAGACCCAGGAGGCCTCCCTCTGCTACGTTTTTGTCCCGACGTATCCGACTCTGACGAAGGCTTATACTTGGTCGGCATAGGTAAAAGCCCCAAGGGCACCTGGCCATCGGGAGCATATTTTCGGGGCCTCCCTCTCTTCTTCTTTACTGGCTCACTGGATGGCACGCCAGAGGGGACACCCATGCTAGTGTCATGAGGAAAACTGGCAGTTTTAGCTTCTAATGAAAATGGTGATCCAACATTAGCGTGAGCCTGCGGATTGGTTATGGACCTGAAGGGAGGTGCGCCATGATATGATGCAGCACCAGAGTGGGTTGCAGATGCAGAACCGTCCCCACCAACTCCCGCTCTATGAATGTAATATGGAGTTGACCCACCAGTTAATGCCATAGCTTCTCTCCCATCCATGCATTTAATATGAGAAATTACTCGCAGGTTTGAATAAGCTAAAAAAAAGAAGACTGGCAAAAGATGAGACTTTTTCTTGGCAGCTAAAGATTGCTCCTTTAAAAACCCCCAATGCTGATCAGATTCAAAAATTGCGGTATGGAACAAACAGAAAAGGATATTTTGAGAAAGGGTTCTACAAAGATTTTCTTCAAATGTGAAAATCTCTAATCTCTGCTTAAAAGGAAATTGCAAGAAGTCCCCTTTCAACCCTAGATACTCAATAACAAACACAATGGTGCTTTAGAAGAGGGTTTTGCAGGGGTTTTTGACCCAATGAGGAAAATCCAAGAATCAAAAAAGCAGAACCACCGAAGCTAGAGCAAAAACAGCGTTAAAGGAGGAACAGCATCACTCCTAAACAACCCCTAAGCATCCTCACTCTGAAAACAAAAACAGCTCCTCCGAAATCCAAGTAAAAAATTAAAAATCAGAAACAAAAAAAAAAAAAAAAAAACCCTATAGTTACTGCAACCAAGCCCTAACCACCAAGAAAAACAAAACCCTTGATTGATCTAGGGTTTTGAGAAGAGGGGTTTTTGATTTGAGAAGAGGAGTGCAGAAAGAACAGGATGAAGAAATTTGAAAAGAAACAGGGTGAAAGCAAAGAGAAGAAGAAGAAAAAGACAAAGTAGGAGAAAAAATGATTTCAAAAATGAGAGCTTTTGAATTGATTAAAGAAAATAGGAGAAGTGAAGAACTTTAGTTCCTTTTTTTAAAAAGAAAAAAAATTTATTACCGAGTCAAGTGAGGAGTGTTGTTCTGAACAAAGTATTTCTCTCTGACTATTGACCAAAAAAGAGTAGAGGAAGAAGAGTGATCCCATTGGTAGGGTAGGCAGCATGTGGCCCACAAAAAGTAACCACAGCCCTTACAGTGGGTCTGTCCTTATCAGCTTGCCACATCTTAGGGCAGAGAGCCCTTTGTTTTTTTGATTTCAACGGTACCATTCTAAAGAAAGAGTGATGCCATAGGTAAGGGGGGGGGCCAGCAGGAACACTGAAAGGGGAAAATATTACGTCATATTTGAGGAAACAAACAAGCACTCAAAGGGAAAATATTGCTGTCATAATTGTCATAATATAATTATAATATTATATATAAGTAAATTTATATTTATAATGTAATATTAATTAAATATAATATAATATTATAAATAAATTTTAAATAAAAATTAATTATATAATAATATATTATATTATAAATTTATAATATTATATATTATTATAATTATAATATTTTTATTTGTAATATTTATTTATTTATTATTTAAAAGGGAGAGGTAGTAATAGTGTTCCCGAGGCAGCTGCAAGGAAAGTGATGTGGCCTTGACGGTTCCTAACTTTGGGGGGTATGGGCCTCTATGAGCTGGATTCGTTTCTGTGGGCTTGAATTCAATGCATGTACAAGGAGGAGTTCATGTGTATGAACATTAAGCTTGAAAGCATTATGAATATGAATCAATCAGTAGTTCAAGAACAATTGTTCTCTCCAGTGTTCCTGTAAGAAAGGCATATAAAATGACTATATGGATTCTGGGACAAATACAATGGTGGGTTTACCAAGATAATCATCAGAGTTGAAGTTTCCCTTGATGGTCCTTGAACTACAGTTGCAACAGGAATTGAAACAGTTTTAACAATTCCATGGCAACTACAGCCTACAGCATTCCATTTTTTTTTTTTTTTTGGGATGCCTGGCTTGGATGTGGATATCATATGAGACCTTGTAATGAATAACAGCATTGATGGGATGCTGAACCTTCCCTTGGGGTTCAAAGTTCAAAGTTCAAAGTTCAAAGTTCAAAGCCACTCTTCTTACGCTGATGATGTTGGATTGATAGAATGCTCAAGGTATCCAGCTGCATATAGTCAAAGATATCTCAGTCGGTATTGTCCAACTTCACATTCTTGTTCACATAATCCATGTACACCTGTTAAATGGCAATGCCAGTGAATGAAATTCAAAATTCTAATGGTGTGATTCAGAAACCAAAGTCAAGAATATAGTCAAAACAAAGAATAACCATAGATTTGATATTTTACATGTTTTTACTTGATATTATCTATCTGGATTCCAAGGTTCACGTGTGAAAACATTTAAAATTCCCAAACAGTATCAGCCTAGAAATCGTAGTCCAACAATTCTATAAAACTAACATTAAGCTACCAATTTCAAAATGATAGTGTACTAATTAGCACTAAAATGCTACAGGATGTAATTGTCCATTTTTGCGGCAAAGAAAAAGACACAATGATTAATGAGATTTGTATTTATTTGAAAATTTCCAAAGGATACCTGGAGAATCTGAACAGCAGCAAATTTGTCAAATATTGTCTTCAACTGAAATGGGTGCAAATTCAAGGGCTCTACAGCAGTTCTAGATTCTGCAAACAGTAAGAATCATAAGATTTTTTGCCATTGATCTCATGCTGAAGACTTTGTGATGATAAGGCATGTCCGTGATAAGTTATAAACAGCTAAACCTACTTCAGTGTTTCATCTGACTTAATAGTAGAAACAGGATGCACCTATGACAGTAGATTAACAACAAAAATGTGCAACAAAAGTAAAGCACAACGGATGAATCTTGTTATATAATAATCACATAAATTTAACGGTACTACCATATATTTACCAATCAATTCTACTACACATACTCTTCTGCTTGCAACTACGGTCCTAGAAGAAATATCTCACATTATTATTTTCTTTTCATGGAAGAAATATCTCACATTAACCAAAGTAACTTCCCTAGATTTTTCATTTACAGCTAGAAGGTCCCACCTTTGGTGTAAAGCACTCATTCCAGAAAGTGTACTTCACACCATCAAGTTTTCCCATCTTACTTAGCTCATTAATGAATATCTTCACTTGCATAGCCTAATCAAAGAAAAAAAAAGAACAAGATAAGTGAGCAACAACAAGATTGTATTGACTACTAATATGAGACAAGAACACACATCAGGAGCCTTTCTTTGTCTGTCAAATGGATAGCCAATAACGAAGCCCACCAGAGATAGCTCAGAGATCTGCATAGAGGAAGGAGCAAAGATGAATCAATATCAAAATCATGATAGATGATAAAGTTCCAAAACCTGCTGCATTATATATTTAAGAAAATTTTATAAAATGAGTCTTGCTAGTGGTGCTGTTCTCGTTGCCTAGTAGACACCTAAACATGATTTATACAACTAATCACAACACAGCTAAAAGGCAACTATGATCATAATGCAACCATAGAGTTGATGTGAGGAATTGATTAGAGTGATGACTATTATAATTATCAGATCATAAAGGTACACAAAATGAAGTCAGTCACATCAGACACCTTAATTGTTGAATTACAGGAGTGACAAAAGCAGAGGATTAATGAAAAGGAACAATGTAAGGATGCTCCATGCTGCAATGTAGAAAGAGAGACACAGATGCAGAGAGAACTAACAAATACAAGTGATTTTAATCACAATAAAGCATGCTTTTACACCAGGAGAACTTTTCCCTCTCCCTACCAGAGCCCAGAGGCCACATCCATCATCCCCACTAAAAAAACAAGGAACCTAAACAAATCCCTCTCTCATGCCACAATCTTGGAAGGAACAAGCATTCCAAAATCCAGCCTCACTTATTCATTGACATTCAAAGGAGTCCAATCATCATAAGCAGTCACTTTTGTTCAAAGGATACTCTTTCATATATTTTGAGGTCACAACCATTGCTTCAGTTTCCATACTAAAGTCCAAGTGTTTATCAAGCCAATTGAATGACAACCTTACCAGACTTTGAAAATCAGCAGCCATCAAATCCATATTTGTTTTCTTTCAAAGCAGAACACTGCAGACATACATAAAATTAACCTGAATACCAATCACAAACCAGAATTAAGCTTGGAAGAGAACATTAAAGGAAGGCCAACAGTTATCTCAACAGCTTGTGATGTGAACACCCATTACCCAGAATTCCTTAACACTGAGACAACTACTCAACATCAAAGATTTCAGATAATTCTTACAGAGGGGATGCTGGGGCCAATAGTGACAACTTGGTAATCCCAAAACTTGAATGTTAGCATTCAACAATAACAATAAACCCCACTACCCCACATGTACGAAATTCAAAGTATATTACTTGACAATATGCAAACAATGACCCGAAACTTGAAAACACATGCAGACTCATAACAACTTCGCCGGCTTGATCATATGCAGATATCACATCATACCTTAGAAGTGATGCGATTTTATTACAAGGGTCTGAAACTGCTAACCCGACATACTTATTGCCAACATCTACACCCAGCAACCGTCCCCGTTCCAGAGCTTTCATCTTCAACAAATTATGAAAACAAGTTGCAGGGCTTCACGTACTGCACCTCTGAGAATGCGACGCTCAAAGAATCCAACTTGCAGATTTCATGAATCATGAAGGAAGAACAGCATTTCGTTTTTTCTCTTCTCCCCCAACCAGGCCTGGGTAATTCTTCCGCCATCTCCTAGCTGGGCCATATAGGCCTGAGTACAAACTTTTTGGGCTATTAAAGCCCACTAATCATCCAATGCCATGTGCCCATGTCAGATCCATAATCCATTTGGGTCTCGTCGTAGACCGGTGATAGAGCTTTCCTAGTCCCTTGGGCTTCGTTGTTATAAATGGGCCCATATGCCCAATATTTGGCTGGATGACACGTGTGGTATGTCGGTCTACACACGTGTCAGAAGGTACGTGAAGATAACGCATGTATGTTGACGTTGGATTTGATGAACCGATAGGATAGATTTGCTTTGTTTCGTTATCGCTAGGATTATATCATTATATAGGCTTTGTTGTAATTACGAAAAAAATAATATAATTATAATCTCACTTACAAGTTAAATTTGTAATATAAATTGCTGTTATAAAATTAATTTTTTATTAAAAATTTATTTATAATATTATTTATAT